AGAAAAATAAGCATAAAGATACAGATATGTAGAATAGTGCGCGGACTTGCAACATGGATCAATATCGACAACAATTTAAATCTGTTTCTACAGAAAATGGAGAACTTTGAATGCTTCATTGAAACCATAAACAGATGGATCTCAATACATACAGAAGGAAATGAAAAATGTGGAAAAATATTCGTGTGATACACAACTCTTGGTATTACCCATTAGACTGACAGCGTTAAGATTCACAGATTTAATGAGATGAGGAAGGAATGAAGGAAAAAAAAAAAATATTGACAAATCCATACACAAATGTGCTTTCTAAATCATTGAAATAAAAATGTAAATCATACCTCATATGCTTTCAGCGAATGATCAGCGACTTCTTTCCTCTCATTACCAGTCTTGAACTCAGCAAGGTATCTATAGTAATCCCCTTTCCTGTGAATATGGCAATATAATCACGTTAGCATTTTTTATTTTATTTCATTTTTATTTTTTTATCTCAGACGTTGAGCACATGAACTGCACATGAAACTGATAGTAAAGTAAACCTTACATCTTGTTGTAAAACACAGTTGATTCACCAGCCGTGCACGCGGGAATCAAATGTTCATCAATCACGGACATGATGTCACTACAAATATTAGTGAGCTCTAACTCCACTTTCTGTCGGTATTCCTTGATCCTCTTAGCATTCACCTCGTTCCCTCTTGACTCCTCCTTCTGCTCAATTGATGACAAGATTCTCCATGAAGCCCTTCGAGACCCGACAACATTTTTGTACCCAACTGATAGCAAGTTTCTCTCTTCCACTGTCAAATCCACATCCATATTGGCAACCCTTTTCATTGCTTCCACCATCTCTGCAAAATTTAATGCCAAATATTTTTAACCAACAATCAAGATTTATTTTGATTTACAGTTCAAATAAATGTATAGAACAAGTGATCCAACCACATTCATCGAACGAATATTTCCGATCTGCATATACCCTAAGTTATATGAAATAACAAAATGAGAGAAAGAGAGAGAGAGAGAGTACATAGTATGTTTACTTATCTTTTACACGACCAATTAGTACTATTCTAAATGTTTACCAAACTTCCTACAGCTAGAGAAAAGAACAACAGACAAAAAATAAGATCCTGGAATGAATTCATACACTAATTAATCTCAAAGAAAATCCAAGCTACAAACTGCAGACAAGCTCAAGCTAGCCACTGTAAGCAAGCTCAATCGTAATCAGCTATCTACAGTTCAGTACTTCAAACTAGCATACCAGAAGTTCAAACACTAGCAAAAGCGAGATCCACAGATAAAGTAAAAAAAAATACATTTATGTGAACACTGCAGAGTCTATCGGTGTTTGTCGTAAGGTGAAGAACTTTTACCGTCGTAGCGTTCGGCTTGTTCGGCGAGTTTGGCAACGTAAATAGCTGAATCGCGGTCTGCAGAAGAAGCCATCTCCGATCTAATCCACCAAAATTTGAGCTGTATTCTCTCTAGGTTTCGGCAACAGCCGTTTTTTGTGACTCGATTTTTCGGCAAAGAAGGCGAATAATTAGAAATAGCGGTGGAGAGAGAAAAGTGGTTGAAAACAATCAAGAGACATGATTGACTGTCTGACGAGTCTTTTTTTTTTTTTCTTCTGTGCGCAGCCTCCGGTTTCTTACGATTTCAAACTAAAGTCGGTAAACAAATAAAAAAGATGGAGGCCTTGTTTGGTAATCAGCGGTTAGCTGTTAATTGTTACCGGATTGCATTAGTTGTTTTGACCAGCGGATTGTGTTAGCTGTTTTGACTACCTGATTGTGTTAGCGGTTTGTAAAATAGTGTTTGGTAAAGTAACTATTTTAATTAGCTGTTAACATGTAAAATTACTTATAAGGACATCATCATACTTTTATCATTCTAATTTATGTTGAATTTATAATTATTTAGAAAAATATAATTAGCTTAATATTTTAATTATTTATTAAAGTAATATAAATAGAATACAAATAGAAATAATAATAAAAATGAAAATATTTCTTGACCGAGTAAATAAGTTCACGTCATATAAACAACCAGTTACAAGTCCTCACGAATTAAAAACAGTTTGGTAAAACTAATTGTTTGAAAATTAGTTGTTACTAAATTATTTATAAATACAATCTGAAATAAATAAAATTGAGAGTCACGCTTTAAAATAAAAAAAAGGAAAATAATTTTCCATCAATAATTCATTAAATTTTACATCTTTGTTTGTTATTTATTTGAATAATTGATACTAAATGAATTTAAAATAGTTAGCATTTGTAATGCAAAGACATGCAGAGAAGTTCTTAATAGTAATTAGCCAATAAAAAATAGGTGGACTAACAAAATAATGTGCAAAAGCCATTCTCAAACGTTGCAACCCCTAGCGTTTCACATTTCAGCTTTTTATCCCAAACTGCCAAGCTAATAAGCTACTTAACCAAACATTAATGCTAGCTGTTTTATTTGGTCAAAACTGCTAACTTAGCTTTTTTTCCCAAACCGCTAAAAACCAAATATAGCCGTAATCTAGAAAAGTATTGTTAAATAAAACAAAAAAGAAACTGTATGGTTTTTTTTTTTTTAATTAATTTTTATTTACCTCCCGAATTATGTA